CGGGGCTGTTCCGCGCCCTCCACCCGGAGACCCTCCCCGTGTCCCCGGGGCTGTCCCACCGGGAGCCCTTCCCAGTGCCATCCTCTCCTTCCCCCGGAGCCCATCCCAGTGCCGGCCCCCATCCCAAGAGCTCCTCCCGGTGCCGTCCCCCCATTCCAGGAGCACATCCCGGTACTGTCCCCCGATTCCCGGAGCACATTCCGGTACCGTCCCCGCTACTCCGGAGCCCATCCCGCTCTCACCAAGTGACCCCCATGGTGCCGGTGCCTCCACCGGAACGGGCGGGGCCAGCAGCACCGGGAAGAGGCGGAGCCACCCCGGAAAGGGCGGGGACAGCCCCCACGTGTCGCTTCCCGGTCCGGTCCCGGTCRCCCCCCGGTCCGTCCGCGATGCCCAAGGCCCGGCGGGCGCGGGGCTCCGGCCCGGCCCCGGCGCTGCCCTTGGCCGAGCAGATCCTGCAGGACGCGGCCCCGCGGGTGCGGGCGAGGCGCGGGGGCCCCGCGGGGGCGGAGGAGCCGCACGGGGATGGCGGCGGGGACGGCTTCGTGGACGCGCGGCTGTCCCGGCGCATCCTGGAGCAAGCGCGGCGGCAGCAGGAGGAGCTGGAGGCCGAGCACGGCCCCGGAGCGCCCGCAGCCCCCCGGCAGCGCAGCGCGGTTCTGGGTGAGCCCCCGAACCCCCCGGTACTCCCCGGGACCCCCGAGGGTGCGCGGYCCCGGGCTGAGCCAGCGCCGCTCTCCGCAGGGCCCGGCTCGGACTCGGAGGATGATGAGGAATGGCCCTCGCTGGARAAGGCGGCGGCGGCCGCGGGACGGAGCGGGGACTACGGCGGGGAGGTGGAGGTGGATCCCGAGGATGAGAAAGCCATCGAGATGTTCATGAACAAGAACCCGCCGCTGAGGTGAGGAGGGGGCTGCGGCGGGTCGGGGGCCGCTTCCCTGCACGGATCCCGACTCATCCTGTCCCGTGTCAGCCCCGTGCGACCCCCGCTTCACCCCTCATCYTGTATCAGCACCTGGCTCCATCCCTATCCCGTGTCAGTCCCCAACTCACTCCCATCCCGTGTCATCTCCCTGCAACCCCGGAGTTCTCCCTGGTTCTGTGTCAGCCCCCAGCTCGTCCCCATCCCATGTCATCCCCTGCAACCCCAATCCCGTGTCGGCCCCACACAGACCCCAGCTCGCCCCCACCCCCCATCAGCCCCTGACTCTCCCTGTCCCCCCACTGACCCCACCCCGTGCCGGCCCCAGGCGCACCCTGGCCGATATCATCATGGAGAAGATCACGGAGAAGCAGACAGAGGTGGACACGGCGCTGTCGGAGATCTCGGGCTGCCCCATGCCCCAGCTCGACCCCCGTGTGCTGGAGGTCTACAGGGGCGTCAGGGAGGTGAGGCTGGAGCAGCTGAACCCACAGCCCCCACCCTGAGGTGCTGAAGGAGGGGACAATTCGCCCGTGTCCCTGCTGTCAGTGCCCTCRGTCATGGCCCGGGCTGTGTCGCTGTCTCTGAAGGTGCTGTCCAAGTACAGGAGYGGGAAGCTCCCCAAGGCGTTTAAAATCATCCCTGCCTTGTCCAACTGGGAGCAGATCCTCTACATCACCGAGCCAGAGACGTGGACGGCYGCTGCCATGTACCAGGCCACCAGGTGAGGTCACCTAGGGACCCTCCGCTGTGGGATTCTTGGCTTTTTCTTCCCATCACCAGAATCAGATTTACAAAACACCAACCTGCCCCAGTTTGGCCTCCTGTCCTCATCCATCCCTTTGTGTTTTGCTGCTGCCAGGATCTTTTCCTCCAACCTGAAGGAGAAGATGGCCCAGCGCTTTTACAACCTGGTGCTGCTGCCACGGATCCGGGACGACATCGCYGAGTACAAGCGGCTCAACTTCCACCTCTACATGGCTCTGAAGAAGGCTCTGTTCAAGCCAGCAGCCTGGTTCAAGGGTAGGGCTCGTGCAGGGTCTCCTGGCTGGGGCTGGGATCAGGGAGAAGGGGCTGAGCTCTGGGATGGAGCCGGTGGGTCCCTGACTGTCCCCGTTCGCAGGGATCCTCATCCCGCTCTGTGAGTCGGGCACATGCACGCTCAGGGAGGCCGTCATCATCGGCAGCATCCTCACCAAGTGCTCCATCCCYGTCCTGCACTCCAGGTGAGGCCCTGAGGGGCTCAGGGGGGCAGAGCTGCTTCTCCAGGGGCATTGGGAAGTGCCTGGGATCCACCCCTCAGCTTCTCTGGCCCCTTGGAAGTGGTGGGGGATCACTTGGGGGGTCACTCAACTTCCTTGGGGGTTGAGATCCAAGGCTCAGCTTTGTGCCTGSATTCCTGGTGTGCTGTGCCCTCTGCTTGGGCTCCTTTACCCTCTCCTCCATCCCCATGGCTCCAGCCCCGCTCCCCCTGACCCCTCTTTGGTCCCCGTGGCTCCCAGATTTTTGTGCTCCCTCCTTGATCCCATCGCTCCAACCTGGCCCCCATCACCTTGGTCCTTCCTGCTCTGTCCCTGTGGCTCCATCCATGGTCCCTGTGGCTCTGTCCTTGTCCCTTCATCTCTCCTGTGTCTCTGTGGCTCTGTCTCCTGACCCTTCACCCCTTCTGTGTCTGTGGCTCTGTCCCCTGTCCCCTCACCCCTYCTGTCCACCCATGGCTTTGTCCACTGACCTTTCACCCCTCTGCAACCCCTGAGTTCGCCTGTCCTGTCCCTCCATGGCTCTGTCCCTTGACCCCTCACTCATCCTGTGTCACCATGGTTTTGTCCCCTCACCCCTCCCATCCCTCCGTGGCTYCATCCCTGACCCTGTCCCCTCACCCCTCCTGTTCCCCCATAGCTCTATCCCCTCACTCCTCCTGTCCCCCCATAGCTCTGTCCCCTGTTCCCTCACCCCTCCCATTCCCCCGTGGCTCCTTTCCTGACCCTGTCCCCTGTTCCCTGTCCCCTGTCCCCTGACCACTCCCATGCCCCCATGACTCCATCCCTGTCCCCTGTCCCCTCACCGCTCCCATCCCCCCATGGTTCCATCCCTGACCCTGTCCCCTGTCCCTGACCACTCCCATGCCCCCGTGGCTCCATCCCTGACCCTGTCCCCTGTCTCCTGTCCCCTGACCACTCCCATGCCCCCATGGCTCCATCCCTGACCCTGTCCCCTGTCTCCTGTCCCCTGACCACTCCCATGCCCCCATGGCTCCATCCCTGACCCTGTCCCCTCACCACTCCCATATCCCCATGGCTCCATCCCTGACCCTGTCTCCTGTCCCCTGACCACTCCCATGCCCCCATGGCTCCATCCCTGACCCTGTCCTCTCACCACTCCCATACCCTCGTGGCTCCATTCCTGACCCTGTCCCCTGTCCCCTGACCCCTCCCATACCCCCGTGGCTCCATTCCTGACCCTGTCCCCTGTCCCCTGACCCCTCCCATACCCCCGTGGCTCCATTCCTGACCCTGTCCCCTGTCCCCTGTCCCCTGACCCCTCCCATGCCCCCATGGCTCCATCCCTGACCCTGTCCCCTCACCACTCCCATATCCCCATGGCTCCATCCCTGACCCTGTCCCCTGTCCCCTCACCACTCCCATGCCCC